AATCTCTGCCTTCGTGTGCCGATATTATCGGTCACGAGCTGCTCCTTGGGAGGATGACGAGGTAGAGGCACCAGGCAAAATGGTATTGGAAGGCTTTGTTGGGGTGCTTGGTTCCATGCGAGCGTCTCACACTATTGGTCTTTGTGGCTTTTTAGCTTGTTTTTCCAAAATGCTTCCTTTGCCTTCTTCCTTGTTCTTGAGCGGGTTCCTGGAGGGAATGGGGAAGAAGGACGGGACCTTTTCACAGCTTCTTGCAGGGTTTTGCATGTTCTTGGGGGAGGACCAGGCTCAGATGGCTTTGGGAAGCTCTCTTGGGAACATCCTGTTCGGGGTGCTGGGTGTCTCCTTTGTGTGGAGCTGAAGGCCGTTCTGGCCTCACCTTCTGCCGGTGTCTGCTGTTCCCGTTGCTCCCGTGCGTTTCGTTGGTGGTGTCGAGCGATACCGTGTGCCACAGAACGAGGAGGACCTGGGGACGGGTGGTCTGTCTGGTCAGCGCAGACCTGGCTGGGGGACCCAGGCTCTGTCCTCTGCCGGGGTGGGGGCTTTTCGTACGGCTGTGGGAATGTCCTTTATCCGCTGGGCGTGTGAACGTGGCGCCGGCACCATCACGGGTCAAAGGCAGCTCAGCTAGAACCAGCAGCGGGGGCAGAGAGGCTGTTACATGCGTGTTGCTGCGCTGCATTGTGGCCACGTGGCCTCCAAGCCCCAGCCCGTGTCCCTCCGGGGTGGGATGAGTGCTGCCGGCCTGGCGGGTGCAGACGAGGGTGGCGGGGCGCTGGGAGGGCAGTGGCAGGGTCTGCACAGCCATCGCACAGCCAGCTTCCCCCTGTGGTGGGGCAGGCCCCTTCCATTTCTGAGGCTCTCTGTACCCGAGAAGGGGTTTGTTTCCTCCCCGCTGCACGCATCACATCGCCCGGGTGTCCTGATGCCCCAGCCCCGCCGGCGAGGGCAGGGACCACCGCCCCCAGCCAGCCGCTTCACGGGGAGGTGGCAGGAGGGGCTGCTCCCCGTGCAGCTCCCTCCTTGGGAGGCTTCGGGGCTCCCACCCT